GAACAGATCTTAAAATTTCTTAAAACTTCTGTAGGCTGCTATTAAAGTTCTTCTTCCAGAGAAGTTTGCTTCCACTAGCCACGTAGGAGGGCAGTATCAACCCAAGCCCTCTTAAAATTTTCTGTTTGCGAGTTTCTTGCTTTCGGTTTTTTAAATCTGTGTTGGGGGTTATGTCGACAGTGCAAATCCAGAAGGCGAGAAGACCTGACCACTTGTGGTTTAAGTTCTTTAGAGCAATTCCCCCTCCACTGCCAAAGATGAGACACGCACACTTCCTGGATGTCTCATTGTTTCGCCTACCCTGAAGGCATAGCCCTCTGGCATCCCAGATTCATGTGGGGGTCTTCTACTGGACTACTGAGCTAGGACATTTTTTCTTACTTAGTAGAACATAAAATAACTGCATGCCATTTCTAAAGTCTTTATAATATTTATTCTGGGAGCTGGGCCATAACTGACTTAGTCTTTCTCCTTCTATTGAACTTTTAAATATTTGAACTGTACCTTGTTCATTAGCTCAGTGTTAACAAGATTTCTCTAGTTGAGTTGTAAACTGTTGAAAGGCAGAAACTATGTCAATACACTTCTCTCTGGATGTTGCTACTTCTAGTGTATAAATACACACACACATACACACATGCACATGACCAGTCAAGTTTTGGTAGACATGGGATCAGAAACCACCTTAAGTGGTCAGATGTCTCCAGTTTCCCAAAATGTCTCCATGTTCTCCTGAAAGCTTCTACCCCACACCTCTGTGTTCACATGTGCAGGAAAAAAAAAATAGAATTCATTAGACCAACAGTCCTGTGGACTGAAAAAATACACAGCCTCAAAGTTGAGGGGTGTTTTATTTGGTGGACATTCTGAGGACTTCAAGCCCGAGAGGCAGCCTCTCAGATAGCTCTAAGAGATTTCTCTGAAGAGACAGGGGAGGAGCCGGGATACAGAGGAACTTTTGCAACAAAGACCAGGTAGTCGGAACATCAAAAGATTACCGTTAATTAAAGAAAACCAGGTATCTCAAGTTAAGGAATTTAGCACTTTATTATGTATGGGAAGATGCAAAATTCTGGGCTTATTGAAATCATTTCTTTGATATGCACCTTAGCCATCTAGGACCAGTCTCCTGTTCTTTCCCATCCTGAGTTCCCTCAGGAGACACTGCTGGGTGTGACTGCAGTTTGATAGCTTGATGACTGCAACATTCTTTGTTTACTGATATGGCAGGCAATATTTTTCATTCACAGTCCCAGAGCTTCATACCAACAAAGCAACAAAAATTACTACAGTCTCACCTGGCCCTGATTGTCCTCTTCCTGGCACTGGGTAAGAATCTGTCCCCACCCTTGACCTACTCCTACCCCTCCTAACTCATTCTCTTTGACTAGACCACAAGAATTCTCACTTACTCTTTTGCTCCAGGAGATTATGTGAAGAGACATGGAAAGAACAAGGCAGTGAGAGTTGGTAGGTCTGACTTCTTTCTGCTTCTCCTCCACTGACTCAATGAAAGACCCTGGACACACACTGCCCCTCTCTGGGTTGCTCCCCTTCTGTGATATGGCTCATGATTTCTGTGGTCTCCTTCAGTTCTTCCCAGAGTTTAAGGACTGGATTCAACTTCCATCTTGCTCATATGTAAACTGGATCTTCTCCATCATCGTAGTTTCTCTCTTGACCTTCAGTTGGCTCACCTTTAAACTGGGATCATGAAACTGAGTTCACAGACTTTTGTTGAGGTAAACTAGAAGCAGATGGGCAAGTAGCTGTTCTAAATAAGTTAGTGATGATGTGGTCATGATGTGGTTGAAATAGTAAGATGGCTCTGGGAGGATATTGTAAGGATGGACATGAGAAACAAAAGGGTAAGGAAAGGGGATGAAGAGGAGGAAAGAATCAAGGAACAGCGGGAAGGAAGGAAGAAAGGAGACAGGGAGGGATGGAGGGAGGAAAAGGAAAGCAGAGAATGAAGGGGATGAATGTGCAGACAGAGGAGAGTTTGGAGAGAGTTTTTAGATATGCAAGGAAATATATACTTTAAGTTGGTACTTCCCAATTAGTGTGGCTACAGTCCAATTCAGCTACCTAAACTATAAGGTGTTGTGACTTCAGCATTTAGTGAAAATGTGCATTATAAATAGGCATGTAAGTGGGTCAGCATGGGGGCTGAAAGTTGGAGGCAGCTTTTGGCAGAGGTAATAATGAAGTGAATCCCATTAGTGATGGAAAGGCAATTAAGAAAAACCTCAATGAAGCTCAAGATCTGAGCATTCAGCTCAAAGACTGGGATTTTGGAGGAAAAAAGGTTAAGCACCGGGAGGCTGTTTATAATGACTTTAATTAGATTGAAAATGAATTGTTTTGCTCTTTTTTTCTCTCTTCAAGTTCGCCTTTTAGGTAATAGAGCGTCTGTAACAACACTGAGGTGCACTTGTCAACTGCAGGGATCACGTATGTGCAGGAGGTGTTTAGTGAATGACAGTGATTTCACGATGTGGTTATGCTCCCTGCAAGAACATGAGGATGCCTGCCATTTCAGTCACCAAAAGCCAGTGGATAGACTGTACACTTGTTAATGAGGAGAATCTTTGTGTGGCTTGACCTTATTATCAGGGTGTTTACTCCCTAGCAAGACTCAGGTTGAAAATTGCCTTCAGTCTCTAGAAACATGTAACATGTCATGGATTTCAGCAACCCCGATTTTTGTTAAACACTGCGATTTGAGAGTCAAAGGAGTGCACATTGAATGTTGATGTTTGGAAACGTTATAGAATGAAGGAAAGATATTGCATAAGTCACCTTTAGTCTTAAAATTCTATGTCATCTTTATTGATATCAACAGAAAGAAGTATCTTTTATTGTTGATATTAATTTAGGTACTACATTAGACAATAGTTGGAATTTACAAAATAATATGTCTTATCCCATTCTGTCTTCAAAAACACATTTTCATTGAGGTATGAATATCCCTATTCTATAGATAAGGAAACTGAATCGCCAGCAGTTTAAGTGATTTGTTCAGTGTCATTACAGCTAATGAAATGGCAAAGAATACACAAACGGAAGCTTTATAAGCCTGTTGTCCACATCTCCCCCACATAAAAGGGGGGTTATCCTTAAGGTGGTTCTGTCCAACAAACGAGAAGCAAATGTCCAGTGGCTTTTCTGGTGCTGTTTAGTGTTTAGTGTATAACCAGAACCCTACTTAAGAGTCGCCTGAGTAGACCTGAATGGGTACATAGAGAGGAAAAGTGGGTTCTACTGGAATACATTTAATTTGACTGTTGATCATAACAGGGCTTTATCATCCCAATGATTGAAAAGTATCCGTTATTTTTAGATTGAAAGTAACCTGGAGGTTGGACAACCCTCGCCCGGCTGGTAGATAAATTTCCATGGCAACCGATTATTAGGCAGAGACTGATTCCAGAGGCAGACAGTCTGCAGAGCACTGATTTTCAGCCCTGGCTGCACATTAGAATCATTGGGGAGCATTTAAAAAATATTGAGGCCCAGGGTCTACCCCTAGAGGTGCTGATTTAATTGGTTTGGAATATAGTTACAGCATCAAGATTTTTTAGGTCACTCAAATGATTCTAATGTGCCACTTGGTTGAGAACTGCTGTTACAGAGTGTGATTTTTAAGTAGTATATGTAGTTATAAAGATTATGCACTACCTAGGAGGATTTCAGGGGATTTCAGCTAGTTCAGATCCCTATTCCTTCTTTCCTTCCTTCCCTCCCTCCCTGCCCTCCTCCCTCCTTCACTCCCCCTTCCTCTCTCTCTCCTTCCTTTCTTAACACAAGTATTTGCTGAGCACTCATTGTGATATGTTGCTCAGTGCCACCCCTACAACCATCACTGTTGTTTAAACCTCATCATCTTGAGCCTGGGATATTTGCCAGCTTTCTGACTGGTCTACCAGCCTCCATTTATGGTCCCTGTAGTCCCATCCCCCACAGTTCACAGTGTATTTCTTCAAAAATGCTTCGCTACTTATAAGTGATAGTACAGAGTATTGGTCTTTCTTTGTCTGACTTATTTCAAGCACAAAACTCTCTAGGTCCATCCACATTGTTGCAAATGGTAGAATTTCATTTTTATGACTGAGTAATATTCCATTGTATAGATATACCACAGCTTCATGATCTGTTCATCTGTTGGTGAACACTTAGGTTGCTTCCATACTGTGGCTACTATAAATAATGATGCTATGAACATTGGGGTGCATGTATCTTTTCAAATTAGTGTTTTTGTTTTCTTCAGATATATACCCAGGAGAGGAATTGCTGGATTATGTGATAGTTCTAGTTTTAGTTTTTTGAGGAACCTCCATACTGTTTTACACAATGGCTAACAAAACAGAAACAGAATCGCAGATATAGAGAACAAAATAATGGTTACCAGTGGGGAGAGGGAAGTTGGGAAGGGCAAAATAGGGGTACAGGATTAAGAGATATAAACTACTATATATAAAATAAATAAGTAATAAGGGTATATTACACAGCAAGAGCAGTATAGCCATTATTTTGTAATGATTTTAAATGGAATACACTCTCTAAAAATACTGACTCACCATGTTGTATGTATACCTGAAACTAATATAATATTGTAAATCAAGTATACTTCAATTAAACAATGCTTTACTGTTTAAAACTTCTCAGTAAATTTCTTTGATAACCACAGAGAGGATAAATATGAGACTTTATAGTATGGCATAAAAAGTTCTTACAATCATATCCCTGTTTGCCTGTTCAACTTTAACTCCCAAAGTAAACAAGTAACACTGAGTTTGCAGCCCAGTAGGAAGAAGGGTCAGGATCTTTTAACACCCATGACAGTATGTGCACCATTCTGCCCAGCGTTTCATGAAACAGTTGGATTTGGTTTTGAAACTGGTAGTACTAAGCAATAAGCCAATGATTAAAAATGCTTCTAATTGTCCTGAAAACCAGTCACCAGAGACAAAAAGTAACAGCCATTCATCCTCTCTTGGCAGAAGCTGTTTGCTGGAGGAGTTGGAACACTCGGTCTCTGCTTTCGTTAAAAGGTAAGGGCAATATTGCAAGTGACAGTTCTTTGGGATCTGAATCTTTGGATCTGAATTTTTTATTTTAATTTCTCTCTATATGCGTTGTTAGGATATAGTATAATTGGCTTTCCACAAAGCCCTGAAAAACTTGCCGATTGTTTTGTGTTGCTGTATTTTAAAAGGGAAAATGTCAAGAGAAGAAAATGAAATCTCTTTCTTTGGAAAACAGCCCTGGTCAGTGAAAATTATGCTATTTGAGCTGAATGTTGGCCAGGCTTCGGAGAGAAGCCTGTGATGTGCTCAGTCATGGGGAAAGGGTCCATGCTTGACTTGATGGGCACAGGTTAAAGGACACCAGTCGGCATCCAGAGGGATTTGACAACTTGTGTTTGGTCGGGACAAGCTTTGACATCCGTGGGGGTCTGAACCGAGGTGTAGGCCTTTTTCTTTTTTTAATAGCATTGCTTTAAGTAGCAGCGTCTGGTCTTCAACTGCCAGTTTATAATTGAGGACTAGAGACTGTAAATTCCAGGGAAGTCGGTTAAATGTAATGGAAGGACTGTGATCCCAAAGAAAGGAATTAGAGCAAAAGCAGATGAAGGAAAAAGCTCAGTCTTCTGGCTGCTGTGTGCAGCAAGGCAGGCGCTGGGAGGATGCTTGGAAGATGACCCTAGGATAGAAAACTCATTCCAAATCCCATTTTCTTAGGAGCCCTGAGCGACTAAGCACTCCACTTAGTGATTTGTAGTGTCGAGCAAGTTGATTTTCTTTGTGTCCCATGTCCTCTTCTGTAAAGCAGGATGGGTGATTGACAGCACCTACCTCACAGACGTGGGTGCTGGGGAAATGAGGCCAGTCATGGCCATCGCTCCTCTCAGCGACCCACTGGCCGCAGAGAATGACCCAAGCAAAACTGCTTCCATTTGGTGACGTGCATTTTGATTGTAAAGTATTGCTTGGAAATAGTACTGCAGTATGACAGCAAAATTGCTCACTCATAACACTGGTTTTCTTTCTTTTCACATGTTCCTTTTCTGAAATGCCCGATCTAGCACCGGTAGATATTGGTATAATTATGCGATTTTGTGTTTGAAGAGTTGCTTCTTATTTAGATTGCACGAGCGTCAGGCGTGGGCCTGACTTTTGGTTTGCTCTAGGTTGGTTTGGGAACTTTTTGCTCCTATCAGCAACTTCCATTCTGAAAATAAATGCAGCCAAGTGAGACTATGTTTGTCACCAATGAGCTACTATATATGGCCTAGGAAACTAGTAGTCCAAGTGTGTTTGGAAGTATTTGTGCTCACTAACTATATAGCCAACCGGAACAAATGGGCAGGAAATGGTGCTATTAGCTTCGGTTTGCTCTGATCCTTAGAAAGTAGACAGGTAATGTCAAGCCACCCTCGCAGGTGAAGAGTACACTCCTAAAGTTCACCCAGGCCGGCATTGCACTGCTTCTAGAAATGATGGGAAAGGCTACAGGTGTGCAGATGTTCCACTGAGATGGAAGTGAGCTGGCAGGTTCTAGCATCTTGAAAGGGGGTAGGGAAGGTGAGATTTGAAGGAATACGTGGGCACATTACTGTGGGTGTGGAATACACATACAGGTTTCAGACTTGAGATGGGGAGAAAGTCAAGGTCCCCTAGGATGGGCATGTAAGGATCTCCAGCTGAGCGTGTGTAGTCAGGAACCAATGTGGTGTTACGGACTATTGCATTGACTTGCTTTATTTAAGGTAGACTCATAAAACACCAGCGTGGGGAGTAGCATTCTTTAGTCTCATAATGAGGGAGCACGGGATGAGAAACACTGGAGTAAGTAAGCACTCCTCCAGGGCCCGCCTCCAGCCCTCTACACTGGGCCGCAGGCACGAGGCCAAGGGAGTAGGCAAGGGGACCAAACTAAGAGCGCAGTGCGGCCTGACTGCTGCATCTCGCCCTGCGTCTAGAGCACGGTTCTTACGCTTCAGCGTGTATCAGAATCACGTGGAGGGCTTGGCACAACACAAGGGTGGGTCTTCACCCCTAGAAATCGTAATCGATGAGGTCTGGGGCGGGGCCCGAGGACTGGCCTGTCTAACTGGCCCTCAGGGGATGATGGAGCTGGACCACTGATGTGGGATGCACACTTTTTAAAACTCTTTCTCTTGCCCTTTTTCTATCCTAGAAAGTTAGACATGGGGTAGATGAAGAAACCTTTCTGCTCGTCATCTGATGAAACAGATTCCTGGCAGAGACGCAAAACTCTAGTCTTTCACTTATACAGACACCCAAATTCTAGCTGAAACCCCCAAGTTATTGTGTAAAAACCAAGGCTTGTAAAGATAAAGGGAATCATCCAAATTCGCACTAGGTGAGATTTAAACCCGCAACTCTTGACGCCAGATCCAGGGTTATTTCTAAATCACTCCTTCTGGTTGAGAGTTCTGGGCTGAGCGACTCTTTCTGACCAAGATTATAATGAAAGCAGGAATTTATACTGTAACTCCATTCTACTATAAACAGCAGGGAGTGAAATTAAGTTAAGGAAAGCTCATGGCCTGTATTGTCAGTGAGCACATTGACAAGTCTGTTTCCAAGGCACTCAGTCCAAGCCTGGACAGACTTCTCTCTCCTTCTTGTCTGGATGTCACCTGGGCCATCTGGCTGCATTCTGCTTTCCTGGGGACCTCTGGGTATTTTGAGTTGTTTTTCTCTATAAAGAAATAAACCATAAAAGTAGATTTTATTGATGAGCGTAGATGAATTTGCAAAACTCACTGCAATCAGTCATATTTAGGCTTACATTTTTATAGCTGTCAGCCTACTTGTGACCATGTAAAATACAAACTTTTCTTTTCCTGTGTACAATTGCTAAAATCAGCAAATGACAAAAACCAAGAGGAATGAGTAAAAACAAGTGTCTTTCTTGTTGACTCTGTAAATTTCACCTGGGTTCATTTTTCCCACAGACTTTTCTCCAAGTTATTATTATTTTTTAATCAAGGTATTTTTACACAAAATAATTCAATCCTCAGAGGAAATCTGGCACCAGTTCTTCTAAGAATAACATTTATTTCAAGTTACCATCTTGAACTTGGAACGGCAGGTGCAGTAAAGGGGACCCTAAGACTAACACACAAAGACCTTGGTGTTGAGTTGGGATCTTGTGCTAACTAGTTTCTGCTAATATGTCGTTTCTTGGATCCCTGGTCCTTTCATCTATAAGTTAAAAATAATTACGTGGACCATGACCTGAGTTGGAAGGAAGAGTTCGCACTCACGTAAAATGATTTGAGAGATAGAAATGCTATACAAATGGAAGGCACTAGTGTTAGTGCTCAGTAAGAAATGAATAGAATACTTGCCCTCTCATTCACTCTTCCATGCCCCCCGGCCCACAATCTGGACAATGATGGCTTATTGTCTTCTCTTTCAGAGGAATCAGAAACACATTGCTAGTTTGTTTCCCAGGAGCAGTTAATGTTTCCCGGTGCAGAGAGCCACTTCATATACAAGAACAGGCATTGACCTGGAGGGCAGCACAGACCTTGCACACTGAGGTCCAGCCAGAGGATGGTGACTCATTTTACTCTTCAGCAGAATTCTCATAATAAAAAAACATTGTCTTCTCTGTTGATTTGAATTGAAGGAAAGCAGGGTGGATAGTCGAAACTCTATGACACTATCAACTCAATGCTGGATTACTTTAATGGGCCATAAGTTATCAAGACAAGTGTAAATCTAGCCGCTAAGCCAGCTTTTCTATTAATGCCATGCAATCCACCAGGAAAAAGGATGGAAGCTTCCTGTCCACTATAGATTTATTACCGCAACTCTGCAAATTACATATTGTTATTTTTCTATCACCAGTGCAAAAACTAGATTTCAGTAAGATAAAATAGCCAGCTCACAGTCACACAAGGCTGTGAATAGCCAAACCTGGCTTTGCCCACATGTCGGGGGTTCCACGTGTGGAAAAGCAGTGTGGTTTTTAGAGTGGTTCAGAGTGCGTATCCTGGGAGCAAGTGGTGTGGGTTTCAGTCCCTATTTTGCAACAACTTAAAAGCAGTGAGCTTCAGTATGTTTGATTTATCTGTGCCTCAGTTCCCTTTGTTGTAAAAAGGGATGGTAGTATTTCATAGGGGTAGTAAATGCTAAATTAGTTGAAACTTGCAAAATGCATACAAGCCCCAATTCTAACTAGCTAATATTTAGCATGTATATTAGTTTTGTCCTAAATGTGAGTTCCCTTGAAGTTAGTCATTTATTCAAGAAAGTGTTGCCAGAGAGTGGGTTCTTGTTTCTCTGGCAAGCCGGTTACATACGGTGTAAAAATGAATATTAATTGGAGAGGGAGGGATTTGGGGTCGTATTCCTTGATTTCCATCCCAGCTCCACCTTCTGGAAGGGAGGAGGGACTTTTGTCCTTGTTTAGTCTAGATTGGAAGTGTCATGGCGTCGGTGCATGATGGGTACTTCTTATCTGCAAGGCTAATTTTATTGCAATGAGGGCATAATGAGCAAAAGGTTACATTCGGACCCTGGAGATTCCTGCCTTTTCCCACCTTTCTTTGTTGGCCTCCAGGCTACTTGTCACCCAAAAGTGTGTGATCGCTTATCAGTCCGGAGCTTCCTGCTTTTCTCTGTCAGCCCAAGGACCCCCATTGTTCACGAGATGTATGCTTTCCTGACATTTGGCCCAGGCTCCCTTTCCCTGCTCATATTTAGCTATCTGCCTGCTCTAATAGCATCATAACAGAGCATCTGTTTTGCCAAGTGCTGTGCTAGGAACTAGACCTCCTCCTTCTTTATGGTGATATGACTAAGATGTGATCTCACCTTCTGTTAGTTCAGAGTTTTGTAAGGGGTCAGAATATATTGCCATAAGTTAAGTTCTCCAATAGAGGCAAGATCATGGAGCAATGATGGGAAGAAGGAAGAGGCTAAATGGACTTGAAGGGAATCTGGCAAATCCCTACAGAATTAGTACTTTTTAAATTGGAACTTGAAATATACATTCAGTGTGACCTAAAGAT